ACAGCATCTTTATATCATCAGCTAGTAGAAAGTGATTAAAGATATTATAATAACACTTATAAGAAGCTCAGTAGCAGTCAGATAATATTTATAAAGATGTTAAAAATTTGAAAAATTTTTAATTCTTGAAAACTTCTTGAATTAATATGCAGATATTATTAGAAACACACTCTCTCTATTATCTAAGTAAAAATACTTTGTGAATGAATGAGAATACTCACAGATTGTGAGAATGAGAGCTGTTATAAAAAAAGAGAAAAGAAGATAAGATTTTATAAATAGATTTGAAATATTTATACTACTCTGAAAAAGATCTATTTATATTATAAGTGATTCTGCAGAATAGTCAGATTAGTCTAGTAAATAAAAAGTAATTATAAATTACAGATCTGAATCTTTCTAAGTAGTTATAAAGAGTAATTACAGACTGTAAATATCTTGACTCTACAATTCTACAGAGTTATTGAAAGAATGAAAAATTTCTTACAACTTTATATTATCAAAGAATAATGATTTATGAGAATAAGTGAAAGATTAACTTATAAACACTTCTTCTTAATAAGAGTCATCTTATAAGAAGTGATTTATTATATAAGATAAGTCTATATATACACTGACTGTATAATCATGTCTAGACTGACTGTGTGACCGTGTCTGAGATCAGAATCAAACTTTATAGTTATCATATTATCTAAAAGTATTACTTCTAGTCATGATTTGTGTTCATTACATTGATCTCAAATCACATTATTTCAAATATTAAAGATTTCAGATTCACTTTTCAAATAAAAATCTAGTCTTAGATAAAGAATATGTTTGAATTCTTAGTTACATTTTCATTCTGATCTCATTATTGAGAATAATACTAAATGAGATTATAAAATCACTTCTCACTTACATAATATCATAATATAGTGCTCATTTGTTGAAAATTCAATAAAGAGTATTATTAAATATTATTACTTTTCTGAATACAGATCATAATTCATATAATTTTAATTATAAAAAAAATATAAAATACAAAAATAAAAAATAAAAAACAAAAAATAAAATAAAAACAAAAAAAAATCACAATGAAAAAAAAAAGAGAAAGAAAAAAAAAATAAAAAGAAAAAGAAAAAAAAAATAAAAGAAAAATAAAAAAA